AAATCTGGGAGGAGGAACAACTACGGGCACGAGGGAATTCTAGAACCCCAAAATTTCCCTGTCTTACGGAAGGCGACCGCGTCTGCGTTAGAGAACTTCGCTTCGCCGTAACCAGCGATCTGCGAGGGCCTGATTATCCGAACCCGTATAACTCGCAATATTATATATCCCCCGGCTTCGTCGTCATCGCCCTCAATTTCCCGCCCTATCATCTTCTCCTTCCTTATCATCGACTTTCAGTGGTACCGTGGAATTCCATAGCCCCCTATTGGCCACGTATTCCGTGCAGGAATTGCAGATGGCATAATATTTCCCGAACCCCCAAAGCCGCGGCCCCAAGACGCAACCCACACCAACAGGCGCCATGTGGCGGACCCCGAAGGTCCGGGCCTCAAGGACCGCCTCGCCAGGCTCCTTCGAACCGACAACAGCGCGAGGATCGGACGGTCCCGCGCCACCAACGAACAAGCCCTCGCCGTAATTTTCCCATTGCTTTGTTGGATCTATGTCCCTGAGCCTTGCCACAGGAGATCTCAGCTCTGTCCTGGGACTCCACCCCCACTTTCCAAAAATCCTTGGCACACCCCTTTTCGCACTTCCAGGCCCACACTCCACTCCGATCAGGAAGTCGCGCCGGGCGTGGGGTTGGGCGTCACATACTACGGCGGTCGAGTTGGCGAACGGTCGGATACAATAACTCCTTGATTACTACATCGAGGTCGTACCGGTTTATTTTGCACCTCATGCATGCGAACCGGTGATGTTTGACGTCTTGGACACGGCCTTCGACATCATTTTGGGGATGCCTTGGCTTGCAAGTGCGGATCACATGGTCAACTTCCATCGGCAGACACTTACCGTTTGCGACGCCTTTGGCGCCAAGGTGCCGTGTACTATTCCTCTTCCGCACCCTTCAATCCGATGCCAAGTTGTGATGGCCAAGTCGTTTTAAGCCACTTGTGCCTACGAGCGGACGGACGAAATCGGCCTATGTTTTCTCCGAAACGTCGCGATAGCCGACTCTTCACCCACAAACCTTTCCTCGGATCCCCGTGTGCTGTGGTTGCTTGACGAGTTCACCGACATCGTCGAGTCTCTTACTTGTGAGGTGCCGGATCGGCCGATCTCCCACAAGATTATTCTTAAGGCCGGTTTCGTGCCGTCGAAAGGTTGCATCTATCGCATGAGCGAGGAGAAGCTGACTGTTTTCCGTGCGCAACCCGATGATTTGTGGGAGAAGGGTTGGACCCACCCTAGTGGCTTACCATATGGTGTGCCACTTTTCTTCGTATGGAAGAAGAACAAGGATCTACCATTGTGCATCGACTACCGCAAGGTCAACGTGCAAACTGTCAAGAATGCGGGGCCTCTTCCTCGTATCGACGATCTTCTTGAGCGTTTGGGCGACACAAAATACTTTTTGAGCTATCATTTGTTTTCGATACGCCCTCAAGATCGCCACAAATCCGTGTTCAAGACACAGTACATACATTTTGAGTGGGTCGGCATGCCTTTTGGCCTTACCAATGCCCCGACGGTTTTTCAAGCGGCGATGACTCCAATGAGTCAATGACCAACGAGTTCAATGCAATGTTGGACCGGTTTGTGTCGGTCTACTTGGACGACATTCTCATCTATAGCCGGACCTTGGAGGACCATCTTGAACATCTTCAACGCGTGTTGGAGACGCTCCGTCGCACCAAGTACAAAGCCAACCGCGACAAGTGCGAATTCGTACAACAAGAGTTGAAGTACTTGGGTCACTTTGTTACACCGGAGGGCATCAATCCAATATCGGACAAGATCCACGTTGTTTAAAAGTGGCCGGAACTAAGGAAAGTCGCACATGTCTGTTCAATTCTGGGCCTGGCCGGCTACTATTTACGCTTTATCAAAAGCTATGCGAAAATCTTGGCCAGTTTGACCAAGCTTCAATGCCAGGATCGACCGTTCGACTATGACGATGATGTGCGAGCGTCCTTTTTGACCCTCAAAGCCGTTTTGCTATTCACGGAGGTCTTGCGCATCCACCACGCACTGTTGCCAATGCGTGTCACTACAGATGCGTCCGGCTATGGCATTGGTGCAGTCCTAGAGCAACACGATGGCGAGGATAGGCACCCCATCGAATACTTTAGCAAGTAAGTGTCTGCCTTGCACTCGATTGATGACACACGAAAGTGTTTGGCTTGCATTGTTGCACTTGATTGATGACACAAGAAAGTGTCCGCCTTGCACACGATGGCAAGGATAGACCCGAGTTATTAGCCTTCGTACACGAGCTTAAGCGGTGGAGACATTTTCTTCTCGGTCAAAGTCAATGCCGATGGGTAAGGGATAACAATCCGTTGGTCGTCTACAAGACCCAAGACACGGCCAATAGCACCATCGCCCGTTGGATGGCTTTCATTGACCCGTTTGACTTCTTCCCCGATCACATCCCGGGAAAGTCAAACCATTTTGCGGATGTTCTTTCACAGTGTCCGGAGCATTGTACCGCAGTCTACTCGACTTTCGAGATTTATGACGACTTGCGAGACGACTTCATCTGCAGTTACCAAGATGACCTCGAGTTTTACAACAAGTACGTGAATTCTTCCTCTCCAAATCCGGCGCCATCGCACTACTGGATCCAAGAGGGATATTTGCTCGTCCACTCGCGGGGGAAGGATCTTCTTTGCGTGCCAAATAATTCACACTTGCGTACGCGGCTTCTTGGCGAGTTCCACGACGCTCCTGCCACCGGAAACTTTGGAGTCAATCGTACAATTGACCGACTTCGCAGACACTTTTGGTGGCTTAACTTTCTCGATGTCACACGCTATTGAACATCGATTTCGTCAAAATGGACATTTTATATTTTTTGAACGAAATCGATATTGTCATTTTTGAGATGATTCAGGTGCAAAAACCATTACAAATGAGAGTTTTGGTGTGATGAGTAAGGGGTAAGGTATAAGAGGTAAGGTTTAAGGGGTAAGGTATAAGGGGTACGGTGTAAGGAGTAAAGGTGTAAGGTGTAGGGGGTAACATGTAAGGGGTAAGGTGTAAGGTGTATGGGGTAAGGTGTACGGTGTAAGGTGTAAGGGGTGACGGGTAAGGGATATGAAGGTACTATGCAAGGGGCAAGTGACACAACATATCGAGGAATATTCGATACATTGTTTTTTGTCAAGCGCCATCTCGTGGCAACCACATCCGCCCCCTTCGCAATCATATTATAGAATATAACGTATATAGTAGTCACGAGTCACTGTGTCCAATGCCATCCGACGACGTATTGCGGGTATGTCATCCGCGGTGAAACAGAAAGGGGGAAGTTGGTCCCGTGCCAAAAGTGACGCGTACGTGACTACAAAGACCCCGCATTCGTTCGTGTCACGTTGCTTTGGAATGCCCTCCACGTTCCATTTGTGATTGAATGGTCTCATGTCCACCTCTTTGCCTTGTGATTTCGATCTTTCGAATAGAAACTTTGCAAACCCGCCCGTCACTTTTAACGCTAACTCCTTGTCAGGGTCGAGGGGGTCGTAAAATTCGAGTTTCCTCCTCCTTAAGTCAGCCACGACCAAGGTCAAGTGGTTCTCGTGTGCGATGTGGAAGGGAGCAATAATCAAGTCCATGTCACTTATAATTACATCCTGGTATCAGCGTTCTACCTCTCGGCCTCTATATCTCATGTCATTGTCGAAAAGTTGGACAAAAAAAAAACGAGCTCAGCACTGATACTTTGGGAATGCGACCATTTCCTTCTCTAATGACTATCTCATTCTTCGCGTCGCATTCTATGTGGTGTATTCTACACCAGTTGTCTAATGCTACGAGGTTGAGGTAAAAGTTGATGACGTTGTCGTTTAACCACTGGTGTTCACCAGCGAGTAAAAGAAAATCGCTGCGAGTGAGTTGCAACACTTCGTTGTTGTGCGCATCGTGTGTGCTGGCTAAGGAATACCTATTCCCGTATTCGCGAATGATATGCGCTATTGCTGTCATCTCCCTCCCCGATAAAGACGACGTTGCGATATGCATTGTCCACCCTCTTTTGCACGATCTTGTATCCGTTGTTGTCATTTGCACTGCACACCACAAACGATGAGGAAGACGACATTCATGAGGGCGGACGGGGGAATGATTGTAGGTGCATTACCAAACGCTTTGTGGGAGCTGATGTATGCAGAGCATGTTTTCATTATTTCTCTGATATTTTACTTGTATGAACCTCATTAACGTATGCAATAGTCCATTCCTCGCAACGATCGACCACGCTGACCCTCATTGACTACGTCCGCACACACACATCCATGTCGCAGAGAGAGAGAGAGAGAGAGAGAGAGAGA